AACTACAAAGTGTGCTAGGCCAAAAAGAACGTTAATCTCTTGATACACGCCGTTAAAATGGGTTTGCATTAACGCTGTTAATAACGCGTTTAACTGACAGTACTAGTTTTAAACCATGTATCCACTATTTAAACTTCAAATTAATTATTTCAACTAAAAATAAACATAATTATCATAATGATTGTAAGTAATAATATGCACCTAACCAACTAATTGAGTCTTTTATTTACAGTCAGTTTGGCTTTGAGCTAAGTGCCAGTTTTCACTGTGACAATGCTAACATGCTGATGCTGTGTTCGCCATCTTAGTTTAGCGTGTTAGCATGCTAACATTAGCATTTTTTGCACATTTAGCGCTAAACACAAAGTACAGCTAAGTACAGGCGCTTGATGAAAAGTGAAGGGATCAACAAAGTCATTACAATTCATCCTGAGGGGGACATGAATGTCTGCTTTTAGGTGGCGACATTTGTTGAGATGTCTGGATCACATCGCAGAGGATCATCAAAAAAAAAGTCTCACCAAAGGATTTATCATCAGGGGACCATCAATGTTTATACTATAAAATGTCATGCATGTAATGAGATATTTCAGTCTGGACCAAAGTGGTGGACTGACCAACTGGCCAGTGGCCAGGTTCAAGGTCAATCACGTTGAGAAATTAGTATTTCCTTAAATCTACCTCTGCCTGCTCTACAAGCACAGCTTGAAGTTCAGGCCAATTTATTTGATTTTTATTGATGTGGGATATGGAGAGTTGATATTTCTCACAGCACCAGTGCATGAGCTTGATAAAACAAGAGTGATTAACCCACCCGCATGATTGCCCAGTCACTAATCCAACTGAGCAAAACATGAAGTCGTCATGAGACAGGCAAAAACCAAAGAATACCAGAGTTGCTTGTCTGTGCTTACATTAATCTCTTGCACATATACCTACACAGACATCCAGACACACACACACACACACAGAGTGCCATTGTTTGGCTTCGTGCAGTGTGAGTCAGGGGTTGTAGCAGAGGTGTTGGCCCGTTGTATCATTGTCCAGTAGAGCAGATGGATAGGTTTTTTTTCCTCTAAGGCATCTAATGGACCACAGAAAAACTCTTTTGTACTCTTTCGTACTCCACTGGATTCTGTCACTCACTCGCACACACACGCACACACAGACACACACAGACACACACAAACACATTGTCTAACAGTACACTTGAAGATATAACACAGTTGAAAAGGCTGGTACAGACTGACATTCGTATAAATACAGAAAAACAGGAGGAAAGTTTGGGTTCTTGTTAAATTGGAGGAACAGTGTGAAGTTTCTTTCTGAGAGGTGAAAAGGTGACAGACAAGTAAAAAGAACAGACAGGTGCTCCGCTTCGCCTGTCAGGGGCGCTTCTACCATTCTGCTTTTCTTCTTTTGGCTTGTTTAATTTTTTCTCCTTTCTTCTCTTCCTCACATCTTCCTTTTCATGCTTTCTCCCTCCCAATTTTTTTTGTCTTCCACCATTTGTACCTTCCTTCCTGTTAAAACCCCAGGTGTTTTTCTTTATCCACAGATCCTCCTCCTTTACCATCTTTCTCCTTCTAAGCGTCATTTTAATTCTCCTCCTCTCTTCTTCACTTTGATGACAATTTGATCTATCCATCTATTTCTCCCCATCCGTTTCTCAATCCCCCCCTCGGTGATAATACACGCTCTCCATCTTTATGGACATCTATTGACCAAGTCCCCTCTTCATTGTTCTCTCTCTCCACCCCTCGCATGTTCTCATATTGATGGCTTTTTTACCATGCAATTCTTCTGAAAAGAGCAGTCACACCTCCATCTCCTCATCCTCCATCCATCTTCCTTTTCTTCTTTCTCCCTCCACTCCCTATGTATGTGTGCAGTCCCCACACACTGCAATGACTGCAGCCAATCCCATTAGCCAGATGAGCAGGCCTCCAATGAAGGGGAAAGCATAATGACAACACCAGTGTCTCTCTCACACACTCTCTCCCTCGCCACCGCTCTCTCTCTCTCTCCCCGTCTGCTCCATCCATTCATCCGTCACTCTCGAGGGTGTGAGTGTGTGTGTGGGGGATATGGGTGTGTGTTATTCTCGCTGTGTGTTTGGGCTGCACAATTTGAAGGCTAGAGGGAGAGTCTGTCATTTCATGTGTGTTTATTCAGGTGTGTTTCAGCGTACGATGTATGTGTGTTCATGAGTATCCATAGAAGGGAAACAGTTGCAGTCGAGGATTCACTTCCTGCTGGGTCCACTGCCTTTAAAAACGCACACTCAAGGTAGTTGTAAAGCATTTTGGAATGAATCCTGTTCGCCAAATGGTGGATTTCATGGCATTATAGCTTTCAGCAGTCTGGGTTTGATTCCCAGCAGGGCGTCCTGAGCTGAAAATATACGCAGTCACGCTACTATAAGGTGCTCTGGATAAAAGTCTCCACTGATATAATAAATAAATGTGTGATTTTCTGTCTCTGTGGTGTTTGTACTTTGTAGTTTGAAAGAGTGTGTGTGTTTTTATGCCCCATTATTCAATTTTCAAATGATAATTTAACATATAAAATTATGAAACTCCAGTTTCCAAGTTATTCCAAGTTTGGAATAGAGGAGTCCTTCCCTCCTCCATTACCTGTGGAGTCATTACCTGTGGTAATGTGTTGATGCAGCGCACAGGGACAGTGTCTTTTCATCTCCCTAACTAGCCCCATTAAAATCCATTCAGCTAATGAGCCTTCACTCAGTCCTCCGGTAATTAAGACCTACCGCTTGATCTGTACAGCACTCTCACCGAAAGCCCCTGTGCTTTCATTTAGCACCGCTGTGACTCCATTACTGCATTAAGCACACACTGGCATATACAGCACACAATATAGGGGAGAGTGGGAGGATTTGAGTCTGTAGGGAAGTTTGATGAGCTTCAGATACTGTAGTAGTAGTAGAAGTTGGTACTATATTAAACTGCTAGCAAAACTTTAGTCATAAACTGTTAGGTGATCAAAGGTTTTTTTAATAACCTGATGATTTCCAGTATTTCACAACATCATGAAATGTGTGTGATTGGTCACCATTTTCAACAATAGCAGCCTTGTCACGGTTTAATACTAGAGGTTTCCTCATTCCAGCTGTTCCTTCTAGTAAATCAAAATTTAAGACACAATGCACATATTTTAGCCACACTACCTGTATGGCTCTATGGATGGTGCCGGTATTTAAGGAACTTTGGTTCAGGCTGAAAAATCATAACAGCTCCATAGGTATGCCATAGTCTACACCATTGCTGACATTCACCTCCTTAAAAAATGTTAGTGTCACTACACCTCAGGGCCAGGTCGATGGAAATACCATGCCAGAACTGTAAATGCTTGTGTTTTTTTGTAGTTTCTAATGCTGGAGTAAAGATGTTTGAGAGTCAATGTTCAAGGTCTATTTATTGGCAGAAATTCAATATAATATAATATAATTGTATAATCGATAATTAGAATTGTCTTTTTGTTACCTTAGAATGAGTTGTTTATATCTACAGAGCTGCAGGTTGCCTTCTGTGGAGGCCGCAATGTTGAACCACCACATTTCTGCAGTAGCTCAGAACAGACAAACCAAACAGTGGCTCTAGATAGGGACGTTTTTCACAGCCAACGTAGTTTCTCCTACATGCTTGGAAGGGGAGGGTGAAGCAAGGGAGTTTCAATCTGCAATTACACTGCAAGATGCCACTAAATCCTACACACCAGACCTTTAAGGAAGTTGAAGAAAGGCTCAGCAATCTTCTATTTATAACACACATCTAATAAAGCCATCTCCACTGCAAACATTCTGCTCAACAAAGACTGACACGCTCTATCACAGTGAATGAATAAACAGTGATTGCACAGGAGTAGTCTCCTATTCAGTAATGACACAAGGTGAAATAGAAGTTACCTGGATGTAACTCCAGATATAGGCATGTCCCACCGTCGCTCTATATCACACATTGAATGAAGGAAAAATACTGTCACTGTGGGAAATTTCATTAAAGCCTGATACAGTCTGACCACATACAATACATCCGTCTAATATTGCGGTGGTGCTATCAGCGGGGAAATCTGAAAACTATAAATCAAAACCTCCTGTTAACCCCTTGTGTCAAGAGTGAACCCAGCTATACTCTGAGAGATTATTGTCATTACTTTTCTACCAAGATGCCTCAAGTAAAATGTTCATCTCCCCCAAATGTGGAGAAATGCTGTAGTTTACCATTACCATATAGATGACTTCCATACGTAGCTTCACTTCTGTGTACACACTCCCACACACACACGCATATATAAACTCACTTGTTCGTATCCGTGCGACGATACTAACAAAAAATCTGCAACAAAATGACAAAAACCAGCTACTCAAGCAAAGCAGCCACACCTGTAACACATGTTGATGATCCTGATGATGAAGGACACCACCTGAGTCTCTCATTCATTTATTTACCCTCCCCTCTTCCACCCCCAGTCTTACTCTCTTTTTCCCGTCAATTAAATTCACTTCACAAGTGCTTTGTTGGCAGGACCTCAGGGTGCTGTTACCAAGGCGCTTTTGATTTAATATGTGTCATGCATAGGGAAAATAAAAAAAAAACAGGGGAAAACAACAACAACAACAACATGCCTTTAGGTTTGCATTGAGCCTCACAGTAGGAGAGGGGGGCATTTGTCCCCGCAGGGCAGATTAGATGTGTGCACCCAGTGGGGGCACGAGGACACACCAGCACTCCATCGTCTGGGGGAGAAGACACAGCTTGAATACATAAATGAATGATCCATTTTCTCTCCTCCCGCTCGACATTTCCCTCACCCCTCTGCTGCCTCTCCGCTGCGAGTCACTCCGGATTGGAGGGAGCTGTTCTTAAACTGTTGGGCCCTCTTGACTCCTCACCACTCGCTCTCGATCACTGTCTCCCTCTTGTTTTCGCTCCAACTTTTCTGACTTTTAAGTGACTCAGAGGGCAGATGGAAAAACCGAACTTTGAGCCAGATGGAGAAAGATTACAGTTAGACACAGTAGATGTCACTCTACAAATAGAACACAAGAGGAAGTTTACTACAGTCTTGCATTAAAGCGAGAGTTTACTTTTGAAAGGAAAAATAATACATTCTTTATCTTACAACTAAAAAGTTGAATTCATAAGGGATTTATTCATAAGGGTTCATCCATAAGAAAGACACTCTGCAGTTTTACTTGGTCTGGTGTGACCAGTAGCTAAAAGTTAGCTAATGTTAGAAAACTTGCATAAAACAGACATTGCTTAGTGAGTTTTCTGACTTGGTGCATCTTCTCTATTTGAGCTACTGTTTCTTTATGTTTTAGCATGTTCCATTATCCCATAAGGTTACATGTGGCCACAGTGGCTGCCATTAGCAAAGGTTTCACTTTAAGGGTTCTGTATTAAATGGGTTCTTTGGGTTCGTATCACAGCAGATGCTTCTTCCGCAGCTTTGAATAATCATCAGAAAAAAGGGTTTCTGTAGGGAACTGTTAAAGAATTGTACAAGGATGTTTGAGTCAACTCACATATCAAACGATACCAACATTTTATCCCAAGTAGATGACTTGACTTGAATCTTGACTGTTTTGTAAAGTTGTTGCTGTGTTCAAAGAAGAATTACATCCAAACCAAATCTACGATGATGTAACGGACCCCTCCTTCTTGTTTCCTCTATCCTAGGGTTCTCCATAACTACATGCTGTGGCGCATTGTGGCGGCGCTAAGTGAACACCTGTCCACTGCCTTCCGCAGCACCATCCACGAGTTTTCTCGGGAGATTGACGGCACCGAGCAGCAGCTGGAGCTGGGCAGGCTCTGCCTCACTCAGGCCAACAAACACTTCGGCATGGCCCTGGGAGCCCTGTTCGTCCAGCAACACTTCTCCTCACAGAGCAAGGCCAAGGTACGGGTGGGGATGAGCTAATGAATGGTTGGTGTGATGGTTGAGTGGTTTTCAGAGGAGATTTAAAATGTTTTACTTGAAAACCATTATACTACAAATATGTTAATAACAATTCCCTCTTCCCACCGCGCAATGTTTATCTACTTGAAACATGCATGGAGGCAGACGAATCAGGCAAACATTTATTAAAAATTTACTTTTGAATAATGATAACTTTACAAAACAAAACAGACAAAATCTCACCCAATGACCAATAAAGGATTTTGTTGGTTCAGGTCGAGTAGCAGCACTCTACAGTAATTGCATCTGATTCCATTAGCTGCACTGATGAAGATAAACTGTCTTTCTGAGGATGCAAATAGAGGTTTTTTTCGTGACCACTGTTTTGATCAAATATACAATTTAAGAGCCATACTGACGCAAGAAGCATTCTGGAGGCTGTAGAGGAGAGATATTTCAGACATTTCAGATTTTTAAGAGCTCATTTTGAGTAGCAGTTTTGCTGGGAGATTGAACTGTGTGTCAAGTTGTAACTGCCAGATCATTACTTATTTAATGAAGGTGTTTCCAACTCTACTTAGTCTAAAAAAGTACACTGTAATGATCAATTTGTCTGCAATTTGCATTGACTGATTAAGACAGTAAGATGAAAACCCAAAAAACTGGCCTTGGCCTTGAATTGACTCTTATGATATGACTGTACTTACTACTGAAAACAATATTTTACAGTCATCTGAGACATTTATAATTCTGGAGAAAAAAATAATAATCTTAAGACTTTTCCACATTTTCCATTAGACTGGATCTGCACTTGTTTCTTTGTGTTTTTTTCTTTTTATTTTTCTTTTCTAGTTTTTTTTGGCTCCGCAGGGACAGTGTAGGGGGGTCCAGCTGTGTTTTTTGACATTGCTAGATGGTTTTGATGGATTCCTGTACTGGGATCTGGAAATACCATCCATGTCAATCAAAGCTGTCTCCAGTCTCCAGTCCAGGTTTTATTGTTTCTATTTTGCTCTCTGCCTAGGTCAGTCACTACTAATCCCCCTCCTCTGCCCTTTGGTCCCCCTCTCTTTCACCTTAATCCGCCCCCCTATGTATTCTTATCTCAGTCTCATGTCCATTCCAGGACATGGGGATATGGTTCCCAATGGGATTTCTAACCTCTGTAACCCCATGCTCTTTCTTTAAGCCCTCCATCATCTCCCTTTTATCGTCTTCTTCTTATACTCTCACAGTCCACCCTACACTCTTTATCTTACATTGAGCCGCCTTTCTTCTTTTCTTGAAAACTTTTAAATCTCTGCCAAGGCTCAGGACTATAAAGCATAAAACCAGTCTGACAAAACTGAAAGTTCTGGGTGCTAATTACTTTCTATGTACTGTACCTTAATTGAAATTTAAGTTCCCAAGCTTCTAATGTTCCATTTAAGATTCTAATAAGACACTAAGTGTAAATTTCAATAATGCTTCAAGCTAGTGGAGCATTTCTGATTAATAAAGAATAAAGATTTATTAGGATCAGGTCTACAGTCTGGCAGGTTTTTTTCAGATGAAGTGGGTGCTAATCCCATAAGCATCTAAATCATTCAAACCATCAACAGTGTTTGTCGTCCTGCAGAGGTCTATGTGGGCAGGATTGAAAGTTCCGTGCTGGGTTACTGCATTTTTGGTATTTTCCATGTTCACACTGATCATTTCACATTGCTCGTAGGCATCAGTCTGTACTAAGTTGGCATGTCCACACAGGTCGGAGACCTCATTATCAACACGAGAGATACTGGCCTCGATGCCGGTGGCGATGTGTGAAGCCTTGACTGACTCACTGACGCTGCTTACCTCAGCATGAACAGGAATTAATGAGTCTCAGGAGCTGGAGCTGAGAGACGTGAGACAGAGACAGAGACAGAGACAGAGTGGGAAAGACAACCTTTCTTGTTATCCTGAATCACCAATGTAGAGGAAGTGAAAGAACACACCATATCCCAGTTGTCCCTTAGTTAGGAGTATTCCCATTTACAGTAGTTTAAGAAAGCCCAGTATAATTCCTTAAAAGTTACTTCAGGTTTGGACAGCAAATGTTCCTCAACCCTATCGCCAGAAAGAATCACTGATGTTGGATGAATCTACAAATCGGATTACGTCCGCTGCCAATGTTTTTCTAATTCTAACTCTGAAATATCTGTGCAGGGCAATTATGTTAAGGTTTACGTTAGGGAACGAATATCCTTACACTATACTTTTCTGCATACAAGGCACACTACTGGTTGCTTTGACATAGTACATATTTGAATTCAATTCAATTCAATTCAATTCAGTTTTATTGTATTTATTTGCCAATTCATAATAAAAGTTATCTCATAACACTTTTCAAATAGAGTAGGTCTAGACCGTACTCCTT